GCAGCAGCAGCTGCACCGAGACAACACCTGCCGCCATCTTTACCTGTCCGCACTCAGCCAATCACAGAGCCGAGATTTAACCGGGTCAGAGGCCACGTCGAGGTCACGTGTCAGTGATTCATGAATTCAGTCAAATCAGAGTGAAATCAAACATGAATGAAGATAAAGAATCCAGAGTTCCATGAGTTCACCTGCAGCTTTTATTTTATTAGAGTCTGAATCCTTCACATTTAAATGACTGAAAATAAACCTCACGATTTAAACTTGTTCATTTATCAAATTATTCCTATTTTCCTTTTATTCTTTTTTTTTAGCTGTGACCTTTTCATGTGTTTGTTTAGTTGTTTTTTTACTAGAAGTTGGACTGTGGCGCTGCTGCTCACCGGGTCGAGCTGAAGAAGCTTCAAGACAGAAACTGGATGAATGTTTGATAAGAATTCAATCAGTGACCGACACCTCAGTGAACACAACGACCTGATAGTTGTCATTCTGCAGAAGGGAACAATGACAACCAAGATCTCTGAGCTTTAGCCGGCAGGAGGTTCCTCTGAACAGAACCAGACTAGAACCAGGTCAGTAGTTCAGAGACTGGACCAGCTGCAGGAGCAATGCTCACCCTGAAGCTTGTTAGGCAGGAGTCTGATGATTTAGGGACATCTAGTGGTGAACTTACAAACTGCATGGAGCTCCCTCAACCGTCAGCTTTTACAGCAGAACCTGCAGCAGAACCCAACATCACTGTACACATGATGGGTCCGATGCAGAGCGGCTGTTTGGTTTGTTCGCTGTGTAGTTACACAGAAATGAATCATTTCAGAAAAAATCAAGTGTAAAAAGGTTCACCAACCTCTAAATAGAACCAAACTCACAGAGCTGTTGGGATGGTTCTGGTGGGATGTTTTCATGTCCCGACATATTTGTTGGTAAAAAGTTTTTATCTCCTAAATGTCATGTGTCTATCTGCTGTACTGATGAAGTTCTGAGGCTCAGAAATGATGGAAAAAGTCCATTAAAGTGATCAATGTGGACCCTCCTCTGTGGCCTTCAAGGACCTGGACCTCTGGAACATTCACAGTCTGAAGGTAGAACTCTGGTCAGTAGATGAAGGTGCTGCAGATACAGAACCAGATGTTCTGAGGTTCTGACTGATTCTTCACTGAATGACTTGAATGTCCTGCTGTTCCTAAAAGGCTTATTTGAAACTCATTAAAACAGTGAATCTGGTTCTGTTCTGGATTTCCTCCTAAATGCATCGTAGGGTTCTACTGTAGGGATCCACTATGATGTTCTACTGTAGGGTTCTACTGTAATGTTCTACTGTAGGGTTCCACTGTAGTGTTCTACTATAATGTTC